TGTTTTTGGGGAGCTAAGTTATTTTATCTCCCTTTGTATTCTTTTCCCTCTATTCTCTTAATTTAATGAAGTTGATGTTATTGATCAAAAAAAAAAAAGGTTGGAAGATTTGCCAAGGTTGATTTAATAAAAGAAACCCTTCCCCCCAAAGAGATATAATTTCTCTTCCATACTGCAAGCTTCTCTGCAAATTTCTCCAAGACTGGCTTCCAAAAGAACTCAGATTTAGGGTTTCCACCTACCTCTTCCTCTTGTATATTTACCCCTATCAAAAAACTCCTCCCCAAGTTTGTTCTCAATCTAGAGCTGCACTCAAAAGCAGAGATGATTTCTTTCAAATTCCTCCACCAAACCTCATTTACTTCCTCGCAGAAAATGATAATATCGCCCACAAAGAGAAGGTGTGTCACAGTCACTTCTTGCCTCCCTACTCTCCAACCCCTTATAAGATTACTTTCATCTGCCTTTGAGATCATTCTACTTAGTAGATCAACCACCAAAGTGAAAAGCAAAGGAGAGAGAGAGGGTCCCCTCGGCCCAATAACTAAACCTTGGGACCACTATTAATGGTAGCCACCAGAAGAAAGCTTTCTAAAACTAAATTTTGATGGCTGTGGTACTAGTATGGGTAATCCTGGCCCTTCCGGAATCAGGGGTACCATTAGGGATTGTAGAGGGCTAAGTGTTTTCGGGGGCTAGGTGTCAAGAGGCTTCGGCAGTTTAATACAGCCCTTATGGGTAGGTGACATTGGTTGTTTAATGCCTTCCCTAACAGTATATGCAGAAAAACAATAGCAGAAATGTTTAGTATCAGCAACCTAAATTGAGATCCGGCATCAAATAATATGCCGTATGGCTGTTCCGCTTGGAAAGGGATAGAGAAAGTGCAACTGCAGATCACCAAGGGTACAGCTTGGTAGRCAGCCCTTATGGGTAGGTGACATTGGTTGTTTAATGCCTTCCCTAACAGTATATGCAGAAAAACAATAGCAGAAATGTTTAGTATCAGCAACCTAAATTGAGATCCGGCATCAAATAATATGCCGTATGGCTGTTCAGCTTGGAAAGGGATAGAGAAAGTGCAACTGCAGATCACCAAGGATACAGTATTCAAATTTGGGAATGGAAGAAGTGTTAAATCTTGGTTAGATAGATGGTGTGGGGACAGACCCTTAATGGAAGATTTCCCAGCTCTGTTCCTCATGGCAGAAGATAGGGACATTTTGTTAGCTGACCAAATGAAGTGGTCTGGTCATACACTAGTGTGGTGCCCAACATTTAGAAGACAACTAAACGATTGGGAGATAGAGGACCTACTGTGGCTCCTATCTCTACTTCAGAACTGCAAAACCATCTTTTAATCCAGAAGATGAAAGGTGTTGAAGGTGGGCAAAAGATGGCAGGTTCTTGGTGAATTCCTACAGCAAGCTGGCCGAACCTGAAGTTGGGGATTTCCCTTGGAGAGAGGTATGGATATCCCATGTCCCATCAAAGGTGAATTTCCTTGTTGGACTGCGGAGTTATGGAAAACTCTAAGGAGTCTTTGATGCATATGGGTATCAACCAAAGTTCTACAGATTGTCCTCTTTGTGGCCTTCACCCTGAATCTTTCGACAGTTTATTTATTGGATGTGCAGTGCTAGAAGAGTTTGGGATCATTTCAGCAATTTAATGGGTTACAGTTGGTGCCCTCCTCAAATGGTTAGAGAACTCATTACAAGCTGGAAGTTGCTAGGCTGAACAAGAAAGTTGGGCACAGCAAGTTCTTTGATAATCGAGCAAAATTAGGGGATGACGTTTTCAGGTGGTAACTGGTAAGTAGCAACATTGGATTCCTGGATTGCTGTCCATAAGCTGTTCAAGGGGGTATCTCATCAGGATTGTTTTAATTAAACAACACTTTTTGAATCATAGTTGATGTAATGGCTTGAGTGGTTTTTGTCAAAAGGTCGAGATACAGTATACTTGTACATTTGTCTCGTGCATAGGCCTCTCACCGTACATGGAACACTCTTGTACAAATTTACAAATACTTATTAATGAAATTACCTTACCCTTTCTAAAAAAGTTAAAGGCACTACTTCAAGGTATGCTGGATGAGAAATGACAGCAAGATTCCTTGGCAACTCTCAATCACTATCAGGAAGTTTAGATGATTGGGAATGGACAAGAATTTCAGGTTTAACTGGATTCCAAGAATGGTTAATGCAATGCAGATGCCTAGAAAAATAAGGGGTAAATAGACAACCAGTGTCATTGACCCAGCCGGCTGAACCATTTGAACCATCATCTGGCCATGATTTTGGGTTCGGTTCTAGTAAACCCCAAAAATTGGTCAAGATCGTTAACCAGGTCAAAAACCATCCGACCCGGGCGGTTGGACCATTGACCCGTTCAACCCGATGACTAGGTCATGGGTTGCAGACTGTATGCAACTTCTAGAGGCCATAACTTTGTGCTCCAATATCCGATTGGGATGATTTTTTTTAAATTTTGGGTAACTTTTCGAGATCTATGCGTCCCAAGGAGCCATAGGCGCCTTGCCCCACTATTTTTGCCCAAAAAAAAACATTTTTTGGCCTCAATTTGCATTTTTTAATTTTTTTTACAAATAAAAAATTAAAAACATAAAGTAAATATAAAATAATGCATATATACATGTATAACGTAATTATACATTATTTATTGATAAATTATGTCTTTATAAAAATATATACATACATATAGATATATATATATATACACTTAAAAAATGTAGAGTGCTGATGCGGCACAGTCTGCCCCATTCGACCTGGACAGTCAAACCAGTGACCCATGACCTGGAGGCAAAAACGGTTCGTCCTTCGGGTGGATTTTTAAAACATTGTAGACAACTACTGTTTTTGGGAACCTTGGTAATGGTATCAATAATCTGATTGTGAAGGGAGATTCCAAAGTTGAGATACGCTGGCTGAGAAATGACAGAGAGATTCCTTGGCAACTCTCAATCACTTTGAGGAAGATTAGATGATTGGGAATGGACAAGAATTTCAGATTTAACCATTTAACTGGACCCCAAGAATGGTTAATGCAATGCAGATGCCTAGCAAAATAAGGGGTGAATAGGCAACTACTGTTTTCAGGGCCAAATGGGGAATGATAATGTAAAATGATTGGCAAAAAGGCTGTAATAAGAAAGGGATACGTGGTAGAGACCAGTCTAAAGGAAATTTTGTAAGAGTCATGACCAGCTATGTATTCGCCAATATGTTAATGAAGGCTATTAGTAAAACACAGTTAGTGGGTGCTCTTGATAAGCGAGTGGAGCTAGATATCTACACGCCAGCTTGAGAGGGAGTGATATTAGAGTGTGTTTTACACTATAAGTTGACTAGGATTATAACTAATTAAGGGCAATACAATAACATAATTTCCTTTCATTCTTCATAATTAATAAAACAGTGTCTAAAGAGTGTGACCCTTATTAAGTCGTTCTCTCAAATCTCTTTTCCTTCTTTCTCATTCAACTGATCTTCTATTTCTCCCTAACATCAAATCCTAGATGCATTCAACCATAAAAAAATAAAAATGACTAAAGATAAAGACAGCGTTTTGTAAGATCGAAAGTAGAACAATTTGCTGTAAGGGCATTGTAAGCTTATAGATATTGTTTCCATCTGTCTATTGTCAATGAAGGATTGTTTCTTTCTAAGCTTTCTTTAAGTTCCAAATAATCTTTCTAAGCTCTCCTTTAAGTTTCAATAAAGAAATATAATTTAAGAAGAAAATTTACAAACAGTTAACCAGTATCTCTCTCATGCAAACTTTTACAAGCACAAGCATATGAAAAATATGAAATTTTAATATAATACTAATTAGAGCCATGTATGAAATAATATGGAGGCAAAAAAAATTCACAAGTTTAAAACCAAAATCATTCACAATCAATTCTTTTCCAGTCTATCTAGGAGAATACAAAGCTTCATTGCTGAATCCCCCACAGATCTAACCCAAAACACATAAAGAAGAAAAACAAAGAATATCATAAAATTGCCACAACATATGCAGAAGAAAGAAGCTACCATATTTTATCAATTAAACTTGCATAATTGTTGTAGATTTATTAAACTAGTGGTTTACCTGCAAAGCTGTACCTATCTCCAACAGCATCACAAAGCTCTTGAATTTTCTGCTTATTATCTACTTTAATCCAAAGCAGCATCTCATAGTAACCTAATCTAGGAAATGAAGTAGGGCCCTCCTCTTTGACGATTTCACTGAAAAACTGGAATTCTTGTATCATTTCCATGTCAATCAAATACATAAGCAACGGGCCATATGTTTGTTCTTCTATGTGAAAACCCTGTTCCCTCATTGATTTAAATAATTGAAAAGTCTTATGGATTTGGTCTATTGAAACTTCTTCATCTTTGCTATTCCTAGCCTTCTCGATACAGAGTCCTATCAATGCATTGTATTCTTTGACACCAGTTTCTCGTCCTAACTTACCAAACACTTCAAGAGTAGCTTCTGTACCCAGTTTTTGCGCACACATTTTCACCAACTTCTGGAAACGATGAGTTTGGGTGTTCTTGAAAATCCATTTTTGTTTCCTTTCACGTGATATATCCTTGCGACGCTGCAATATGCTGGTTGGAGACATATTTGTGAACCATGGTATATTTAAGACTTTCTCTATGGTCCTTTCATCATTAGGCAATTGCAAATCAGAGGATTTTTGTGACTCCAAGACAGTATTACCTGAAAATATAGAAACTCCAGACCAGTGAAAAGAGCAAACATCAAAACCAAAGATCATTCTTTACCAATATATACGATAAAGGTCATATGCCATATGGCCATTCTTTACCAACATAGAATAAAAAGAAGAGGTGATATTTTCCGTGTATGAATAAGGATCATAATGTCGTGTGGAAAATATGAAAACTGAATTGAGTTATTGAGGAATTGTTAGTCTTAATAAGACAGATTGTTTGCCAGGGAAAAGAGGCAAATGTCAATAAGCAAAGTGACAGAACCTGGAGGATAGAAGATATCAATGTATTTGGTAACAACCCAGTTCACGAAAACCTACCACAGATTAGAGAAGTTACGTCCCTCATTAGCTGCTTCACCGAATCGCCGCCTACATGACCAATGTGAGGGAAGTAAATGAGAGTTTGATGATTAATAACATACTTCTCAGTCCACCCCACATAAAAGTTCAAAATAAAAGACATAATGATATATTACTGGAACTAATCGTCTGTGTCTCCGACGAGACAGGTTCCACCGCTAATTTACTCTGGGTTATCGAAACGAATTTCTTGGACTTAGCTGCTGTTTTGGATAAAACCTTAAGCGAACTCTTTGACGGTTTATCTGCATCTGCCGAATTGGAAGTGCAAGGAGATGTGGAGTCGAGCGAGGAAACAACAAGCTTTTTGATATCCTGAGCCACCTTTCTCGAACTTTTCTCCGAGGTCGTCTTAATGGCGGAACCGAACAGCGAGCTTAGGTTTGTCACTTTAGACCTGGGCATTTGATTTGCTGATTGCCTCAATTTCTATCTGAAAAAATGAAGATGGTTACTACTTAGTAAGCTATTTCTTTGATGCTGGAAAGACATTCGGGCTTAGCTGCCTGTGTTAATGAGGATGCAGAAAACATCAAATGGCGAACGGCAAAGGAAAATTTTTGAGCCGGACCGTTCGGCCAAAAGAACATCCTGGTTTTTGTCGGTTTTAAAAACTGGATAATTTGGGAAACAAGGGCTTCCGAGACGATCCATCCGAACTTTTTAGTTCCTGTGTGTTGCGAAGGGAGTCCGAATTTCCTGCACAATGTTTCCTGAAGACCTTCCTGTACATCCAATAAAAGAGTGCCACGTAAGCACTCTCTTGTGTTAAAATTTCACATGTGATTGTTAACTAACGGACGTTTCAAAAGTCTTCCTCCTTATTTTTAGTATATTAAAATTTTAAAATAAATAAAAAATACTGATGGATTTCCTATTTCAATCAAATAAAAACAAAAAAAATAAAAAACAATCAAGAATAAGAGATCCGCCGACTACAGATTTCCAAAAATTAAACCTGTGAAAGCTAAGACAGACTTTTTATTGACTTCCAATTTCTAAACCCGTGAAAGCTGAGACAAATTCTTAACTGACTTTCGACTTTCAAGAATTAAACCAATTAGGGGTGAGCAAGAAAAACCGAACTGACCGAAATCAAATTGAAAAATCGGTTAATTGAACTGGTCGATTTGGTTTTGATTCGGTGATTTTAAAAAAATCAAAGGTATCGATTCGGTTTTGGTTAACCAATTTAAAAAACCGGCAATTAATCGAACTGACCGGTATATATGATTTTGTATATATTTTTTATATATTTATGTATATTATATATATATATATATTATATGTATTTTATATATTATAAATTAATAAATACGCACTATATATATAAATATATATTTATAATATATTATATATTATTTATTATTTAAATATAATATTTTATATATATTTATATTTTTATTATATATTTATATATTTTTATAATAAATATTATAAAATCAAAAAAAACGAAAAACCAATGAACCAAACCGATCAACCAGTTAACTGACTGGTTTCAGTTCAGTTCTAATGATTGGTTTTCTAAAACCGGTACTACCGGTTCTGTCCAAAAAAAAGGCCCACGGACCTGAACCTTGGGCAACCCTAAAACCAGTGAATCTTTTGTCTTTTGTTTCGACTTCTACCATTCTTTAATAATACTTAATCTCACCTCTCATTCATGGTTTTTAAAACTAGTCGGACCAGGAAATAGGGAACCAGTTAGGTGGTCGGTTCCAATTTTTCCCAAAATTATATTTTTGCTAAAAGCCGTTGATTTTGGTCAGCAAACCGCTGGCCCAAGCGGTTAACCATTCAAACTATTTGATAGTTTTGACTATTTTTTCATTCTTTTATTTTATTTTTTTGTTAGAACGAGCCGACCATTCGATTCGAACAGTTGGACTGTTCAACACGAGAACCAGACCCCTGACCGGTTTGTTGTTCGGGTCGGTTTTAAAAACTTTGCTCATAGGTGAGCAAAAAAACCGAATCGAAAAATCGGTTAACCGAATCGGTTGGTTCGACTTTGGTTCAATGTTTTTAAAACCGAAGGTATCAGTTCAATTTTGGTTAACTAAACTGACCGATATACATATATTTCTATATATTTTACATATTTATGTATATTATATATTTTATATATTATAAATTAATAAATATGCATTATATATTAATAATATATTATTTATTATTTAAAATATAATACTATCTATAATTTTTATTATATTTTCTAAAAACTAAAAAATCGACGAACCGAACCGGTCAACCGGTTAACCGATTGGCTTCGATTCAGTTCTGGTTACCGGTTTTCCAAAAACTGATAGTACTAGTTCGGTTCCAAAAAATTCCCCACGGCTCGGTTAATCGAACCGTGAGTACCCCTACCTCTCATTGTTTCATTGATACTTAACTGCAATCATCATTGTTCAATACTTGTGTCTTTAGTCATTAGTGGGGAATTTTTCATTGAACCTTCTCTCAAGCTTTGATCTCTAACCCTCATTGTCTTAATGGTACTTAACCTGTAATCCTCATTGAACATTGCTTCTAATTTAGACGCAATGTGAATTGGTTTGTTTAGAAGCTAATAATTTAGCTATTTTTTAACACGAAGCTATTTACTTTGTGAATTGATTTGTTTTATGGTTGACAAAATTCAAGATGGATGTACTAATTATCTTGGTCCCTCGGTGGGACATGGTTAATCAATTAATTTTACTAGTTTGGTTAAAGGTGTAGTGGGTTGATAGGAAGTCATTGGTAAGGCACTTTCCTTTTGCTTTTATTGAGTGATCATTCTTGCTCATAGTGGCATGGTCATGTGCATATAAAGGAAAAACAACCGTTAACAGAACATGGATCAACCCAGATCAACCCTAATGGAGAAAAACATTAGATATTTAGTCATTAACCAAAATGAACCCAGATTTTCCAACATTACATGTATCAGCTTTATGTTGTATTGGTTGGCCAATATTCACAATAGAATCAACAATCATTGAAAACCTATTATTATTTACACAAGATAAACATAAATGATGATTTTTATTTGTTCAACTTTAGACAAAATTAAAATATAAATACCTCCACATCTATGAACAATTATACAACCCTTTTTATGTTTAAGCATAAAATGAATTCTAACCATTTTGTTGAACTCCATCCATAACCACTATAAAAAATACCATAATATGAGCTTAAGTGTTGAAAAAATATTATAGTAATTGCTACACATGAGACGAAACCCAAGTATCAAAGTTTAAATAAATATCATTTTTCAAGTTTAAACAAAAAATATTTGTTCAAGTCATTTCTTTGCCGGATGGTTACTTTTTTCCTTGTGCTCAATCCCTAATAATTGCTCAACCTGAAAACCCAAAGCACTATTAATACAATGAAAATGATATTATGAATTGCAAAACATGTATTTTAAAATAAATATAAGAGTTGTAAACACTTAAATCCTCACATGTTTCATTTGAGAGTTGGTATGAATAAATTCCCCAAAAACATTACAAGATAATTGCGCATATGTAAAAAAAGTGAATGAAAAATCAAAATATATTAAACCCATAAGAGAGATTAATTAAAACATGTGAATAAAAAATAAATAAATAGTGGTCCTAAAAATATCCATATGCACTACTCACCTGTAATAATTGAGACATGGTATAATCACTACTGGAAGAATTGGTCTCTCTATACATGAAATAATTTTGTGGCTGTACAAAAAAAAATCCTAAAAAAATGTATAAGACATACTTTAATTACAATTATCCAAAATAGATAATGAATGGTACAAACATTTTGCAAACCAACTTTCATTGTCATTGGAATTGGACCAACGATTTCATACGTGACTATGAATAGCATTATTTTGATTCTCATTATTTTCTCCAAACTTTGAATCCTATAATATAAGAATTTTAGTATCAAAATTAAAAACAAATTCATAATCAAATCTTATAAATACTTGTCTTGATGAAAAAGGTTCCTCAAAACTCTTTTACCTTTGTCACTTTTGTCCTCTTCTTTAAGACATTAGTTATATCATCTCCGATTCCAATTTTCTACATTGTAATAGTTTAATCAATAATAGCAAAAAAAAGTATAGTGCATTATATTAATGAATTTAAAAATACATGTGTGGGTTGTTGGATAGAACATTCATCATTAGTTTGCTTCTTCTTCCTTTTTGTTCTTTGTGTTACAGTCTTTTCTAAAGCATTTTTGAGCCTCTTTGAAAAATGCGTATTACTCACCTTGTGTTTAATTCCTTTGATTACTGTTGGTGTGGTTCCTTCTGAAATGATATTATTTATACCAACATCCTTACATATTTCTCTAGGATTTGTAGGAGAGCTAATGGTTTCATTAGCCTTTGCTCTCAAACTCTTTGATGCATATGTCTCTTTTAAACATTCATTAACCTCTTTGAGAAGCTTTTCGGAAGATTCCACAGCAATTTTATAAACACCCTCATCTTGTGCAGCTCTACTTGCTATTTGAATAAACAAACAATTCAACTCCTTATAGTGCATTGTTGTTCTTGTGTTTTGCTCCAAACTAATATTAAAGCCATGTGAAGCATCAACACTTTTTTTTTTGCATCAATAATCCATCTTTTTAGTATGTAACATGAGGTGATCATCCTAATGTGTTTAAGATCAAGCACTTTCATGGAATGCCCACATAAGATCCCTACATATTCAAACTTTTTGCAACTGCATCTTACTGAATCATTTGTTGAGTCAAAAACAACTCTGTGTTGTTTTTTTCCATATACATTCACTACATATTCAGTTATTGTTTCATCCACAATATGATCTTTACCAATGTTGCAATTTAGTTGTTGTAATACTTCAGCATTGAACATGGAAAAAATAAGTGGAGTGCATGTACGAGCAACATGATTCAATATATCTAATTGCATTGACAAAATTGGAACACTTTGTGTTGCGGAAAATTCTGCTTTCAACTTTTCATATCGCCTATCAGCAACCACTCTCTCAAAATGTCAAAAAAATCTGAACAAATTATGCTTGATGTTAAGATAACTCTTTAGACAATTATTCAAACTCTCACTTCTTTGTGTTGTACCCATACTAGCAGAAAATGTTTGTCTCCCAAACACTAGAGTCCATTTATGCCTTTTGCTATATAGATTTTGCAACCAGACATTTTCTTGAAGATTATACTTGGTAATCAAGCTTTCCCATGCATTTTCAAACAAATCCACTTCTTCATAATCATATATACATTTGCTGAATTCCTTAGAAAATGTCTTAAATTTCTCAAATATCCCACTAAAGTGTTTTGCAACATTTTGAAAAATATGCCAAACACATAGTCTATGATGTGATTTTGATAATATTGAATTGATAGTCTTTGCCAAAGTTGCATCATCATCGGTCAAGATAGTCTTTGGCTTTTTCCCACCCATTGTTTTAATAAAAGTCTCAAACAACCATTCAAATGTTTCTACAGTTTCATCATATAATAATGCAGCACCAAAAATGATTGATTGCTTATAGTTATTCACTCCCACAAAAGTGTGAATGGTCGATTCTCATTGTTTGTTCTATAGGTTGCGTCAAAATACACAACGTCACCAAAATGAGCACAAT